AAATCATTACCTGCTGAAGAGCCACTGAAATTTCTGGCAAGAAGAACCACTCAACACAGGGAGAGCAGGGCCTGAAGTACTGGTTCAAGAAAAGATTCCAGGTAATTTTATCCCAGGTCTAACAGTAATGATGCACGTAGTACCTTTAAATATTATTCTACTCTGTAGACAGAGAAATTGATAGCATCTGTTCATCTTGGAAAAGAATACAGTAGCTAAATGGTTAACTTATGTTTGAAAACTGCTGTGCTATGATCCACCATAAGATACAAGATATCTTTGGGGACTGGAAGGTGCAGTCATCCCAAGATACTCATCCCAAGATACCCTGCTTATCTGGACTATATCCTTTGAAAAATTTTTAATTCTGGCAGTGACCCATAAACACCAAGCAGCAGCAGCTGTGTTCCCCTTCTGCAGCAGGATGTTGACCGCTAGATCACATTTTCTTAGTGTAAACCAAGTCCATTAATACTGCAGTAAATCAGCTCAGTAAACCCTCCTCCAAAAGTCCGCAGGCTGTCCCCAGTGCCATGATGAGGCACTAAGGCAGCTTCTCAGAGGCGTCAAGGAAAAATGACTCTGCCAATCACAAAAGACCCAACAGCCAGAGGCACAAAAGGCGCTCTCCTTCCACAGTTGCAGAGAGACTGCAGCAGCTCACGAACGACCACAAAGCTGCAGCTAGAGAACCTACTGTCAGTGCCAAGACGGGAAGAACCAGGCTCAGGAACAGAGATCTAGTACACAAATGGGTTTTTGCAGAAGTGACACTGACAACAGGCCCACTATCATATGATTTCAAACAGCTGTGTTAGAGAAAAAACTGTGCATGTGAGTGCGGGAGGGGATTCTACCTAAAAAACTACATCTTAAGAAACTGAAATAATAAAAATGCTCACATTATGATCCGATAGCTGTTCACTTATTTTTTAACTATAAGAAGTCACATTATGTGTCCATTAGAATGGACCAAGACTGTACGGAAAAAAGATATAAAGGGAAAAACAAGAAGAGTGCTATTAAAAATAGATACCTTGAATTATGCCACTATTTTTCACTTGAGGTTCAATCACTTGAATTGTATCATCTTCAAGGTAGAAGTATATTTTACAGTGTCTGATTCTATAAAGCTCTTGATTCTTGTCAGGCACTTCTTCCTCAAAATAGGCATCAAAAGACAATACCTATTAAAAACAATAAATAAATATAAAGCAGCTAAATCTTCAGTGCTTTTGCAAAATATGTCAATAATATAAACTTGTATAGATTAAAAGTAACTAAATGTATGGATTTCAGGAGGCAGATTTATTTATCAGAAATGTAAGAATAGAAATCCACATTAAATCACATAAATTTAAAATTCTTTGCTTGGCATTTTTATTATCACAACATCTAAGCAGAGATGAAGAAATAAATCAAATATAAAACTATCAGCAGGCTGCTTGGAAAATCTTCTGAACAAAGCACTTTTGATAGCACAAAGAGCTACCTCGGTCCTGAAGCAAATTTTAGACTTCTATTCAATGAACTGCTGGAAAATAAAGTGCATTATGACAGTAATGGCTTTACCATTGAGGTAAGTGGAAAAGAGAGTTCTTTTTAAGCAGATCCTGCAAGCTGGCTAATGAATGGTGCTGAAGACTATCAGAGAGAAATGATGTTTTTCAGGAGTCATTTAGAGCTGTGCAATACTGGCATTTCAAAACTTACCTGGTTCTGCAAGTCAGCAAGCAGCGAAATCTCAGAGAGTACACCAACTGGTGTTCATGGTCCCTTGCAACTGCAAGACTAAAAACCCTGCACAGGTGAGGTGCTCGGTGGTTTACTACAGTGGCCTTTGTGTCTGAAGATCCCAACTAAAACTCAGCAAACCATTACACAGTTTTGCACTTCTCAGCATCATTTATGGTGTTTAAACACCAAGACCAATTTTAAGGGAATGTGCAAGAAGTATCTACTTAGTAATGCATTATCTACCAGAATGCTTGCTGTGGTGAGTATGTGCAAGGAGGCAATAATTAAAATAAGGTTTCCATCCTGCCCCCTGCAACATGCTGGGGCCGAATCAGTGCTAACCCATACTTCCATTTTTTGCAATGATTCAATTTAATATATTCAATTATCTTTATTCTTGATTCATTAGACAAACAAGCACTGGAAAAAAGACAACTCTGCTGTTCCCTATGTTTCAGCGAGCATCTCGCAGACCATGGCTTGATAATGCTTGAAATCTAGTGAGTTAGCCAAGATCCCTATATGACACAGAACTGACGGGTTAATAGTCTGTATTCCTTCGGCACGTGCCTTTGAGCTCCTCAAAGTACTTCCAGGAATACTAATGACAGATTTTAAAACACCCTAATAGACTAACACAACCTCATTTTCTACATCTGGGGAGAGACAGCCAGCGGCTTGCTCAGGAGCACATGAGAATAACCGCCTTGTGTCCTAGTCAGAGTTCTCAATAGGCCGCTCTCCCTTCTCTCAGGCAGGGTAACGGAAAGATAAGTAAAACTCTGTTTCTGCAAACTATTTCAAAGTCTAAGATCCCAAAGATTTTCAGCATGCATCAAACAACATGACAGACACATTTTTGCCATCAACTTTCCTGCACTGTGACTTGCCACCACTAAAGAAATTTGTCTAAACACTGGTACATTGTGCCATTTTTGGTGACCAAGATATCTCTCCTGGCCTCCAGCTACCATTGTGTGAATCTTTTAAATATTCCAGGGGACTTAAAAGGTACTATGCTGGAACATAACGTCTGAACATCCTGGGCTTCAGCTGACAAGGAGCTGAATTTCATTCCTTGCCCAGCTACTGACAAGCCATGCAACCATTGGTAACTTCCTTAGATGCCGAACCCTCTTCTCCGTATTCTGCTAGTCCCACTAGAATATAGTCGTATGTCAAACATATTGCCCAAGTGCCCTATTTGATTACTCATTGTTCTTAATTTTGTCAGTGCTCTTTTCTGAGAATGGTTGTCTCAGAAACACGCGAAACAGTCTGTTTGCACAGATCTCCATGCACAACCAGGTTCTAAATACACTGTATGTATTTCTCTCACTGAGCCTACACCTATGTGCTGGTTTACTCCATTCGAGGAGTTTGTGCAAGGCCTTTTACACTTGAGCTTTATTTTCTTTATACCCTTATCGACATGCTAGTGTATCACAGAACCATAGAATCACGGAATGGTTTGGATTGGAAAGGACCTTAAAGAGCATCTAGTTCCAACATCCCTGCCATGGGCAGGGACACCTTCCACTAGACCAGGTTGCTCAAAGCCTCATCCAGCCTGGCCTTGAACAATTCCAGGGATGGGGTATCCACAGCTTCTCTGGGCAACCTGTTCCAGTGCCTCACCACCCTCTCCGTGAAAAACTTCTTCCTGATATCTAATCTAAACCTCCCCACTTCCAATTTAACCCTGTTACCCCTGGTCCTGTCACTACAGGCCCTTGTAAAAAGTGCCCTCCCAGCTTCCTTGTAGGCCCCTTCATGAAATATGAAATATTGAAGTTTGAAATATTATGCAGCAGCCAACTGCAATTTTGCATCTCAAAACTGATGATTCAGGAAGGGTGAGGAGGGAAAGAAACAGAAAAGAAGATGACTTTTCATTTTAAGCAAAGTTCATTTTAAAAATTTAACACTTTCTAACTCATGTCTCGAGTGCAGTACATTGCTGCGTGCAACATTCCCATCCTGTCTCTTAAAAAAATTAAACATTAAGTATGAAAACCAAAAGTAACAAATACTGAATGAACTTTGCAGCATTTTGTAAAGTTGGCACAAGGCTTCCCGGGCACATACAGCAGTCACATTCTAAACATCATTTCCAGCCCAGGAGACCCTGTGTGTGTCCTTGATCACAGAAGAAATTAAATTTACACCTGCTTCCTATTAGGCATATGAAACTGCAACAACTATTTCTTAACCTACTTAATAATGAAGTTATATGCCTGTCCTTCCTCCAGCTACTATGGTACTGCTGCACATTAGAAACCAAAAAGAAAAAAGGTAAGAAAGCAGACTGCATTTAAATAGATAGACACCTACTCAAACCATTTTTCATGTAGCCCATTTTGCTGAGTCACAAACTGCAGCACTGGAGGACATCGCTGCATTCTAGGTTCCGAACTGGGAAAGCTAAATTAGTTGGATAGTAGCCTTTAATTGTCTGCAATTAATACAAACACATGAGCCCTACAGAGGCTAGTTCTGAACATGCAAACTCCCACCCTGTATTGCCCGGTGGAGGAATACACTGATTAGAAAACGAATGTCGAAAGGCTAGCGAGTGCATCTCACCAGCCACGTTCAGTCGCAGGTCAGCACGACGTCCTACCTAATCCCTTTATTTCAGAAACTTGGGTCCAAGTCCTGCTAACGTATGTACAGCTCCGAGAAGCCAATGTACACCTCCTCGTTGAAAGAAGGGTGCAGATAAACCAAGCGCGGGCCTGGCCAAAGCCCTAACACTTTGGCACACTAGGCCAATTCACACTTGAGCACGCTGCTGAACACAGTACGAGTGATACTAAGGGCTCCTGAGGTAACGCTAGCTGAAGTCACATCTGTCTGTTCAAGCCTTACATTTTCTTGTAGCAGTTCTGGTCTGCCAAAGAGATGAATACATAATTGTACTGCAATTACCTGCATGGCTTTTCTTGTCAAGCAAAAATTATGAGATTAGCCATTCTTCCCAATATTTAAATACCATAATCATTTAGTCATGAAACATTTCTGTGATCTGCTGAATGATTTCTTTTTTCTGGATCATTTTTATTCTCTGATTGTAGGCTTTTTGCTTGAGAAATAAAACATTGCTAAGTAGAACTTAATGTAAATTTAAAGATGGAAAGTAATGACAGTGTGCTACAAATTTCCTATCATCAGGGATTACAGTTATTTGATAACTCTCTAAAGGTGTCACTACATTCTTACAAAATAAAAAAAATATTAATTCCTGTGTCTATAATGGACACAATCTACTGATATTACACAGAAACAGATCACACAAAAATCAACAGGACTTTGAGCAAGCAAACACGATGGCAGAAGTGAATTCCGAGCCTGTACTACTCCATTGAGGTCAATGGTTCCCGAGTGTCCATGCACATTTTCTCCTGGACTGTGACCTACCTTGCATTCACTCTTACCAGGCTGCCAAATAATTCCTTTACTGTTACCACTTTCACTAAAAAGAAATGTATCAACCACTCCTTATTTTTATTATATCCTGTAGGTGATATACCCCAATATAGAAATATTTTAATATGTTGCTGTATGATGTATGTTTATATTAATTGTCAATATACCAAGATGATGGAAAAATAGATGTTACCACTCTTTCTGTCCATCTAGGAGCCTTTTTGCATGCACAAAATAATCTTCTGAAGTATTTTGACTGACTGAATTTCACCTTTATACAGCGTTTTTCATTTAGTAGCTATTCATAAAAAACATACAGATATAGGTTGCTACCTACCTGTTTGTCAAATGCTACCCAAGCAGGAGCATCACTTCCCACCCCTCCAGGAAACACACTGTATTTAGGTTTCAGCTTCTGTCCAGGTAATGGTTCACCTCCTATTCCAGGCTTGTTTTCGCCAACCAGCATAGCAACATTATTGCAGTAACCCCAGTGCTGTGACTTGTGGAACTTTTCTTGCCCTACCTGTCAAAAGTTTGGAAGAAAAAGAGAAAAAACATCTGGTTTTAAATCCAGAAGAGTCAACTCTTCTATCTAGGCAAGGGGGATTAATCACGTAAAAGTTTCTCTATAATTACTTGTAATACAGGGTCTAAAAACCTGCAACAACAGGAATGCTGCAAGTGAAGTGACATATTTCAGTGGTCAATTTGCCAGCCTTATAGCTGAAAATGGAAAAATATTCCAGTAATTTACCCAGACTGAGAGAGAGGATGATGCCGTCTGTTTCC